CTCTCTCTCTCTCTCTCTCTCTCTCTCTCTCTCTCTCTCTCTCTCTCTCTCATGCACATTTTTAAATAAGATTTTCCCATTGCACCAACTTTTTTTTTGCTGTGTAAGGGGGATTCTCAAGCCGATTAACTTGCCCTCTAGATTATACAAACCAGGTTTAATTACCAGGAGCAGCAGGAGCCTTTAATCTGAACTGAATTATGTCCAACAAAACACAATGCACACATACACAGAAAGGAAAGAAAATGAACTTTCCCCCAAAAAGTAATAATCCCAGCTAATGTAAAACCACACAAATACACATTAACAATTGCAACACACACCAAGTGTCAGCACACAGTGTGTTGATCCTGCAGGGAACCAGAGGAAATGCTTAGACAGGACACGCGCTAACTAAACTTCTGAAAAGGAATTTTTCCCTAACACTGAACAGTTGATTATCAAAATTATAGTTAGTAACTATCTAACTTATTGCATTGGAGTAGCTTGTTGAGCAGCCTCAGCTAAAATAAAATTATTCTGACCAGATTGATGAGCTAGTCAAAAAAGAATCAAGAGCAAAGCTGAACATTGTCATCCAAAGACAGAAATTTCTAGTCATTTATGTGAACATCACTTCAAAAATATTTACTGCTGTTGAAAAATACAAAGAATTTAACAAACACTCTGCAGGTTTACTCTCCATCTATTCATTCATTTTCTGTACCTGCTTGATTTTGTGCATCGTCACAGAGAGATGGAACCTGTCTCTTGAAGTCATTAAGCGAGTAAAGAGCCTAAAAAAATCATGGTTCATGTAAAATACTTTAAAGCAAAATTTATTTATCCTAAGTAACTGTCTGACCAATTCAGTGTAAACAATGATGAACTTGTGTTTGCTGAATAGCTTACATTTTTTGTTTTTACAGCAGACACTTTATTTGTAAAGGTTAATAAAATATTTGAGTTGGTTCAAATTGATCTTGGTGCCTATTGGACTTATGATCCAGTCTGAACTGATGCAACAGGTAAGATATTAACTGTTACCAAACCACATTTCAGATAACCTTGTTTCCTCATCAAGATTTAATCAGACTTCACACAGACATGCATCCACAGAAGTGAGCATCACGGCACGGCAACAATTTTCACTTTCCACTTTAATCAAATGATTTGTACCAAGTATTGACACACAAACAAGTCCACTAATTTACACATGCAACACTTCTTATAAAAAGCTGAAGCTGTGTAATAAACAGAAAAAAATACACTTTACATGCCAATTCAGAATATC